TGGTGATAGTGGTGGTACGGAGTTCTTTGGGAAGTCCACCTTGCAGATGAAATGACCGTGAATAAAACTGGAAATGGCATGGAAGAACCCGCAGCAGAGGCCCTGAATCCTGTGAATCCTGTCCCCTGGGGGCCAGCAGGGCAGCACTCCTCTCGGCCTGCCCGGACCTGACGGTGCCGCCGAGGGCAGCCCTTCACAGCCCTTCTCAGCCCCTCACTTATGGGTTTATTCCAGTGCCTTAGGGGCTGCTGGGTCACAGATGTGGGGAATTGGGGGGCAGGAGCAGGGGGGCAGGTCTCGGGTGCTTCTTTGAGTTAACCAGAGTCCGCTATTGAGGTCAATTTCTCCAGCCCTGTTGACCAGAGAACCTCCATGAGAAAGGGCCCTGGGAGTGGTAAGCGGGCCGCCTGGTATGAAGAAGCACATAGCTACCCCGTGCCATCCCCTCTCGCTCATTCTGACCTCAGATTATCCATAGTCCCCATTCCTGATTGTCCCCGGGAGTTAGCTGGCCACCGGGAAGGAGTCTTTCTTCGGGTTACCCCTTTCCTTAGGTAACGCTCTGCCTAGCCTCGCGGGGGACTTGGCGTGTTACATCTGTTGTTTGCTGTCCGTTTCTTCCTCCGTGTCTCCATCAGAGGCACAGGGAGTTCGCCTGTGAGGTTTGATGATACTTTCTGGGAGCATGATGCTTGGGACTCGGGAGGAGCTTTGCAGAGCCCCCAGAAGTGCACTGTCAGATGGCACAGGCCTCACTGCTCAGTTTGGAGGCTCCACCAACAGCCCCCCCGTGAGTCCATGGTCCTTCCGTATGGGAAACACCAGCTTCCCAGCCCCAGACACTGCTCTGTGAACATTTAAAAGTGAATTTGACACAAGCAGCAGCCTGAGTTAATCCAAGGCCAGCATGGTCCCCCCTTTAGTTCCAGGTGGAGGCCCCTTCTATCAGTAGGGCTTGCCAGGGCGGCCCACCTTCTGAGTGGTCATGGGTACCACTTGTGACAGACAAGCGCACTTGACTTTACTGTGAGCTTTTTGGAGCCGCAGAAAGCATCCCTCCTTGACTTGGCTCCTCGCCATTTCTGCTGATGACAACATACAGGTAACACTATGTTTTACGTGGACATAATCCTTTTGAATTGCTTGCGAGTGGCTCGCTACTCACCTGCTGGTTGGAAATGAGCCTCAGTTCCGAGGACACGGCCTCTGAGAAGGGTGCTCTCCTGAGGATCCCTTCTGAAGAGCGTGGGGTACCCACGTCTCAACTCCAAGAATATACTCAGATACTTAAAGAGCATTCTGTGTAAACAGACCCCTACATTCCAAGAGAGTGTTAAAATCTCCAAAACAGCCTGTGTCACAACTGGCAGAACTGGGCTTCTCACGAGAGAACGCCTGATCTTAACCCATTCCCATCCCACTGGCAGCAACGAGATGACATTCTTCCCAGGGAGGAAGAACGGAGGTTTAAGGGACCCAGAAACATTTCTTACACCTTCTAAAATGTTGACTCCTGGAGTTAAATAAACCCAGGGCACCAGTGCAAACTTAAGACGGGATTTTTCTCAAGTCAGGTTAAATCTACTTGCTCATCGTCAAGTCCGATGTTGCAGAAATTGTAAAACTTCAGCTTTGAGGCCAGACCAGCCACGCTCGGCCGTGATCTCGCAGTAGGTAGCATCCACCTGGGGAGAGACGAGGTTGGTCACACCAAGTCCTCGCGCAGAGACAGGCGGTCCAACGTGCACCCAGCCAGGACCCTCCAGGTGCAGAGAGCTGGGACGTGTGCAGGTGTCTCCCCAGAAGGGTGGGCATGAGTGGCTTGTCTCGCCCCTTTCCTTCATGCCTGTGCAGGAGAGTTTTGGTGTTGAGGTTTTGGACTTGAACGTCGGACCATACAGGAGAGAGTTCTAGGGACCCTTTTGGGATCGCGCCAGGTTGTCCTGTAGCGGTTTCGGAGGCAGCCAGGGCCCCTTGGGCAGACTGAGCTGTTTTCCGGCTGTGCAGCGTGGCCATGGATTGCATATTGGCCTCCCTGAGTTTTCTTACCTTAACACAGCTGGCTGGGGGTGATCCTGCAGCCCCCCAGTAGCCCCAGTTCGGAGAGCCTGGGAAGTCTGTGTGTAAGAAGGTGCATTTCCTGGTGTTGGCTGAACTAGTCACCCTGTTAATCAGTGACTCTGTTGTTACAGGTAACTAAATAGCCAGCTATTTTATTTTCCTCTACAGTCGCCTAAATCATTTGAAAAAAAGACGCCCCGCCCCAAACGTCACGTTGCCCTGGGTGGTGGCCAGCCCCTTGGCTGCTTGCAGAGGTCGGTGGGGAGCCGGCCAGACTCTGGAGCGCTCTGATTCCAGCCAGGCACCCTCTCCACACCCAGCGCCTGGTTGTGCTTCTGTACCTTGTTCTGTTCTGATGAGAAATGGTAACTTCACGTTTTACATTTGATCCTCAGGGGCAAAGCCACACAGCCGCCGCTTTTCCGAAGACGTGGCTCAGCTCCTGCTCTCCAATGGAGGCCAGAGTCACAGCCTCGGACGCACCCTGCCCGGACAGGACCCCGGCGGGCCCCGCGCGGAAACGGCAGCCCCCATGTCCGCACGTGAGGACCGCAGCAGGGAGACCTCCAGGAGACCGGAGCTGCCTCGGTTTTCTGTGGACTTGAAGATGCCTGCGTGCCACCCCAAGCAGGAGGTCCGCGGCTTTAGGGACGCCGTAGACTTCCCTTCGAATGCAGGTCAGGCTTTTCCAGAAGGCGCGGCCCTGCAGCTATCCTCGGAGAGCCCCGCTGGCCACCCCAAAGAGAAGCCCTGTGATCTGCACAATAAGGAGCATTCTGGGGGCAGGAGGGCGCTGGCCCCAGACCTGATCCCGCTGGACCTGAGCGAGAGGTCGACCCGGGATGACCCCAGCCACAAGGAGCTGGCCTCCTCGCTGCAGGCGGCACTGGCCGTGTACCCATGTCCCTACTGCAGCCACAAGACCTACTACCCCGAGGTGCTGTGGATGCACAAGCGGATCTGGCACCGCGTCAGCTGCAGCTCCATGGCCCCCCAGTGGACGCAGCCCAACGGCTACAAGAGCATCAGAAACAACTTGGTTTTCCTCGTCCGGAGCGGACGCACAGGCCCCCCGCCCGCCCTTGGGGGTAAAGACTGCCAGCCTCTGCCCATCGCTAGGTTCACACGCACCCAGGTGCCGGGTGGCGCGCCAGGGCCCAAAGGCAGCTCCTTGCCCCTGGGTGGGACCCCAAAGGCCACCGGCATGCCTAAGAGCCGGGAGGGCCATCTGGGGGGCCCCTGCGCTCTCTGGGCAGCTGGCTCCGAGGGGCCTCGGCAGACCAAACCGGGCCATGGCCCAGAGCAGCACAGTGCCCTGGCTTCACACGCACCCAGGTGCCGGGTGGCGCGCCAGGGCCCAAAGGCAGCTCCTTGCCCCTGGGTGGGACCCCAAAGGCCACCGGCATGCCTAAGAGCCGGGAGGGCCATCTGGGGGGCCCCTGCGCTCTCTGGGCAGCTGGCTCCGAGGGGCCTCGGCAGACCAAACCGGGCCATGGCCCAGAGCAGCACAGTGCCCTGGCGC